TGAGTTAAATACACAATGATTTGAGTTAAATACACAATGGTTCGAGTTAATTACAGAATACTACTTATACAGTATTATACTGTTCTGGCTTACATACAAATTTGACTTAAGGACAGACCTTGGGAATGGAACTTGTTCTTAAACAGGGGACTACCTGTAATACAAACAGGCAAACTTCCATATATTACAATAGATGAGACATTTCATTTGAATGCCAACTTGAATTGCATTATGTTTTGACCATCTGATGTGCAGGGCATTTTGTATTTAGACTGAATGTGGGAAGAACTTGGGAAAAACAAGTATGATGTAGTAAATTCCTTGGCACTATTAGTCTGCAAATTCTCCCACTTGAAACTCTCTCAGTCTTACATACAAATGGATGACTTGCATTGGGGTAAGCAGAAAAACCTCTGCCCTCGGTGACTAGATGTATGAAAAGGATGAATTCATAAAACATCTTTTCAGGGTGTGCCCTTGGCTGCTCCTTCCCAACCCTGACAAGTGCTTTTGATTCCTGCAGTTTTTGAAGAAAGAGGAAAGTATATGTTTAGAAGATTGATACTATGTAAAAGTGCTGGTGTTATAGAATGGCTTTTCATTCAGTGTTAAAGCAGCATCTGCCAATTTAGTAGTTTCCAGATGTGTTGTAGTTAAGATAAAATCTCTCTTGAGTCAAACTCAGTTCCTGATGATTACATGGACACATCCATATGAAACACCAACATAAAAGTAGTTTGCCTTTGCCTTCTGGGATGTTTTTTCCACTTCCCAGTCTACAATCCTAGAATGTGTCACCTGGAGGGCAGAGATTAGTACGGAGGAGAGGACTGTTGTCTTTGAAGAAGAAATATTACTATAGTAGCTTGACTGATTAATTCTGTGGCAGAAATCAATCAACCAAGAAGCCTACTGAAGAGGATTGTAATGCAGACACGTGTACTAAGTAAGTTGAACTTCCTGAACACACTTGACAAATTTAAATAACACAACATTTGTCCTTTGGATAAATGGAGATGATTATGTTACCACTGAAGAAGAAATATTGTAATAGCAGCTTGACTGATTAATTCTATGGCAGAAAAGAGCTAACCAAGGAGTCTATTGTTTCTCTTGATGACGGTGTTGATGAAGAGGATTCTGATTCAGACTCATGGACGAGGTAAGCTGAACTTGAAAAATTTAAATAATACACAGTGTTATAATATTATAAATAGCAATATCCTTTTCTCTTTCTTCTTTTCTGTTGTTGAGTTAAGATAAGAAAATTGAGATAATTATTTTTCTGTTTGCATTTAGCTAATTCCAAATAGTAGACTCCACAAAACTTCATAGAATTATTTATGCATTTATTTTTAAAATGTACAGGCCACCCCAAATTATGTAAAGTAAATTTCATGCCCATATGTACTGAAATGGCAGTATAGTCACAAAAGGTTGCAAAAATTTGTAAAACCTATGGAGGGAAAATGGGGCAGGAGGAGAGTTCCAGTACAGATCAGAAGAGATTAAACATTTCATTAGGGATGGAATGTTGGCTTCCTTGATTGAGGAAGACTAGTGTTTGAGAGTGTACTTTATTTGTTCCTAGTCCTTTTCAGTTTATCATTTCATCTAAATTTAAAGTGTGCATTTAGTTGTTAAAATGTGCCATTCTGATAGTTCCTGTCAAGTGGTTTTTCTGGAAGCATTTCCCAATTGCCAATGTGGTTATGAGAATCTATAGTAAATAATTATAAATAAATAGTAAAATAACATTGAAATCAAACCATTACATAATTACAAACACTAGAACCATAGAAAACAAAAAAAGGCTTACCGATATAATCTGAATATAATAAACTTCAGACTCCAGTTCTTGGGAGGTTGGTTGCTTAAGACAAGGGTATTCAAGGAACAATAATGTATCTTTGGTAAGAAAAGCAGTTTTTTTCTGTTTTGCAGGCACAGTTGATCTATGCAGCTGAATCCAGGGTGTGTGCACTCAAAAATATACAGTGGTTTTCTTGATAGGATTCTGTTAACTAAACTGACATTTATAAACTTTATTTATTATCTTTTAAAGCTTGGATTCAAAAATCCTTGAGACAAGTAGAAACAACTGCTTCTTTGAGGAGTTTTAAGAAAAAAAGAAAATGTAGGATTACTAGGAGACTTAAATAGTATCTAGCAGGCCTAGAAATGTTGTGAGTGTTGTTGAGTATGTGGTTCCAGACTTTGTGTTATAAATACAACAAAAGTTTCAGTATCAAAAAATCTGGAGCCTTGGAAAAGCAGTGTGAAAAACTTTAAATGCTGAGAGGTAAGAATTGGAGTTTTAGGCATCCTTGATGTCCAAATCTATATAGTAAGCTCGAGAAATGATTACAAGTAGTCCCCGGGTTAAGAACTCCCAGTTTAAGGATGACCCATAGTTAAGAATGGAGCCTATTGTAGCAAGATTTGAGTTAAATACACAATGATTC